TTTCATGGATATCTTACATTGTTGTCTAAACCGCCACCCCTTCCGCCTATTGGACTTTATTTTTCTCTTACCCGCCACTCCCTTCAAAAATTCCTGGATCCGCCACTGGTACTTGTAATCTAATGTTATATTCGTATCAAAGTATTTATTTCTCTGTTTTCCTGTTCTAATCATCTTTTCTATATTGCTGTTTTTCATAAGCATTGACAAATGATTTTCTTTAAGAAAAGAAACAGTAAGATAGAAGTTACATTTTATTGGATAAAATTTCAATACCAATGGACTAGAGAACAAAAGCTCCATTGATACTGGAAAGATCGGAATTTCATCAACTAGGTATACCTTCCAAAATCGGACAAGCGAAACTTGAGTCGTAAGACAACTAATCGAAACTTAAGAATAACAAATTATTGGCACGTTTTTGCAAACAGTTTTATTTGAAAGGAATTAATTTGAACCTTTACAACAAATATGAAGTGAATATCATTGAACAATATCGATATTATTTGAAACATATTCTTTGTTCTTCTACCACATGTTTATCATTAAAAGATGAAAAATTCTCGAATTAGCAACAATATTTAAGCTACAGTAGATATCTATGTCGCTTGATTACACATTTTAAACTAAATTTTCTGCGTGCTATAATTTATGAACTTTTTCATAACATATGATAAGGTACTGTTTTCTTTTCCATCTAAGCCAATCATTAGCTTCATATAAGATTATTAAACTGATTGAATTTATATCAATTACAAATGCGCATCTGAAGATTTTCACCTTTGCTCTTTGACTTGAAATTTCTCATCCATGTTCTATAACTAAGAACTATTACGACATCGTTCTATTTTTTTTTCTTATGGTGTTCAACTGTTACCCAATCACTGCTCAAATACGATAATAAGAATAGTCTGTACAAAAATGACTTCAAGATAGTAATTAGTACTTTATCTGATTTGTTTTTCTAGCTAAAATAAGGAATTACAAATACTTCGTCGATACCTATTAAACTTGGAGAAACTATATTTCCAGTTTTCGCTTTCGCATCGTTTCTTGTTTTTCTGGGTGTTTCTGATCCACAGAAGAAATTGAGCAAAAGCATTTGTATTCCATGAGATGCTACCTAGTTTTGAAAAAATTCAACCCCTAACAGATCGGACTCAACTAAAGGGATTTTACGTTCTATTTGATTTAGTTTCGATCTCTAATGTATAAATATCATGAGTTCTGATCGATATTTTGAAACGCCGAAATAACAACTTTTAATATACGTGGCAAATAAGTGAAGTATTTTGTTTTCAGACTTTCGACTAAGAATTGTAACAACACACAGTAATAAAAGTTTGACCATCCATTCTTAATTGCGCGATAGCAACCATACTGTTGATAAAAAAAGTCGAGCTAGCGTCGATGGAGCATAAGCATTTTATGTTTGTCAGAAGATAGACCTATAAAAGACAGAAGCTTTAAACGAGGACTTACTCTTGTTGATTTGTACTTGTTGCTGTTGTTCAGAAAAGCTACTTGGTGAATCAACGTTGTTCACTAATAATTGTTGTTGATTAATTGATAAATTATCTAAAATAAGAATGAAAACGTTTTCTGCCATGCAAACAAACAATTGGCAAGATTTATCGAAAGTGTTCGTTGACAATAATGGCAACTGTGGTTGCGGCTGACGATCAAAAATTGAACTTCGTACAAATACATCACCATCTGAGTCAACGGTGGTACACAATGACGAAAACTCATAAATAAAAAAGAAAATTTTACCTGTTCTAAATAAAGAACTCAATGGTTGTTCATTAAATTGATCAACTTGTTGATCAGCCGTACTCATTAACACTTCATCATGTACATTTGCCAAATTAAAAGCTAAAGGAAAACGTGGATTAAAAAAATGTTTCCTGTATTTTGTAGGGACGTTCTTTGCTGATCAATTCACTGATTTTGATTTTATTGCTTTTGGTAATCATTCAAATAAAAAGAATTCGCCGTAGCTAGTACTCACCATTTCCAACACAAACATTAACAATTGGTGTCACTTCGCCATGTGCTAATTCTGAAGTACTTTGTGAAGGATACGTGTCTTGATGATTATTTAATAGCATAAAATTAAAATTTTGTTTTTTTCATTACGAATTTCCCATCAGCAGTTAAAATTGTATCATCTGGTGAAGCAGCACTTGTTTTGTAAATATCTTGATATTCATCGAATTGTATATGATGTTTTTGTAGTTCGAATGATAATTCTTTTTCTTCTAATGGATCAGACGGTAAATATTTTAAATATGATTCATATGTGCCACTTTGTTTCGATAATTTCAAAACTTTTTCCTTTTTTTAGAATACCACGACGAACCAATCGATTTAGAAAATGATCGATTTCATCTTTGTGGACATTTTTTAAGACACCTCGATTGCCAAATAACGTGGTTTTATAAAAAAAATCGATAAGGTAACTTTAAAATTTCTGTTTGATGTTTTAATTCTGTTGGTGTTTCATTACTATCAGCATTAACACGATTATTCATCAAAATAAAGTGCTGAGGCATGAGTACATCAATAAAAAGATGTACAGCTTCTTCACATGTTTGTTTCGTTATTATCATTTTTGAACTAATTATTGCTGTTGTTAAATCGTTTGATAAATCTGGTGATGGCCCAAACATTTTTTCGACAATTAATTTTGCTTGATCAATAAAAAAATTATTATAATTAAAAAAATCAAGTTGCTGAATTTGAGATGTAACAGTAAGTATATCCTTCTGGTATTGAATGTTCGAAGCCAATCCAATAATTAACTCTGCACCATGTCTCTCGAGGGTGTGGGTGTTG